GACATATTCGTGATTCAACAATGGTGCCTATGTCCACGAATGGTAAACCAGTATCTCATTCATGAGAATTACTCTAGTTTACCAAAGATTTATAGAGTTACATTTCTAGTCCTTTAGGAAACAAATCTCACTACAATAGTAATCCCACAAAATAGGAAACTCAATATAGGAAACTTAATATCTTGTAATATACAAGATAAGAAACTCAATATCTAGTTTCTATAGCTGTCAATATGAAGTACTCACACACCCTATGTTAAGTGGTTAAAAGAGGTCTAGAACTCCTCCATCATACCTTGATGATTTTATTTCTATATGAATAAGGAGATTGACTTAGATGACATTGATGATCCCTTTGACTTCAATGAAACAATGAAATCACAATAATATCCAAAATGGCTTAATTCCATGAGAAAAAAATTGATTCTATTGAAAAAACTAAAGTTTGGGATCTATGTAATATACCATCAGATAGGAAACCTATAGGTTGCAAATGGGTACTTAAAAACAAGCTAAAATATGATGGTTCCATTGATAAATTTAAAGTTAGGTTAGTACCAAAGGATTTTATCTAAAAAAAAGAAGTCGGCTATGTTGGCACTTATTCCCCCATTGCAATATTTATATACATTACAATAATTTTACCAATCGTTGCTTATTATGATTTAAAACTTTACCAAATGGATGTAAAGACAACATTCTTAAATGGCGAACGAAAGGAAACAATCTATATGAAGTAACCTGAGGGCTTTAGACTTAAAGGCTAAAAAAATAAAGTACATAAATTAAATAGGTCCGTATATAGTTAAAATAAAATTCAAGACAATAGTACTCAACGTTTTATTATGTTATTATTTAAATGGGATAAGAAGTAAATAGACTGAACCATTACGTCTATTTCTTGAAAAGTGAGAGTAAATTTACAATACTCTCATTATGTGTGGATGATATCTTACTATCGGAAATGACTTAGAAATGATTGATAAGACTTAAGTCACGACTTTCTTCTCGATTCGAGATGAAAGATATATGAGAAGTATCTTATGTCCTAGGTACAAAAATAACTCAAGATAGAAAACCTCGAATGTTGTGCTTGAGCCAAGGGAGGTATCTTGACTCTATTATTAAGAGATTTTATATGAACAATTTGTAAATATTAACTCTTATTAAAAAAAGGGAATAAAGTTATCAAGGAAGGTTTGTCCAATAGATGGACAAGAAAAAACTAATGTAATACGATGTACGCGACCAATTTTGAGCTAAGTAGATATTATATCAAAGCAATCCAAGTATAATCCATTAGAAAGCAATCAAAGGACTTCTAAGGATTATGTTTTAAAGTCGATAAACTTGAAGTTCTAGGATATTTAAATACAAATTTTGTTGTGGACAAGGACGATAGTAAGTCCACCTCAAAGCATGTTTTCATCTTTTAGCAAGTAAGGTTGAGAATTTAACTTATTTGGATATGATATTTTGGTCGTTATCCAGATTTGGATATGGATCCAAGATTTGGATCCGAAGGGTCGGATATGGATCCAAAATTTGGACATGAATAATAATACAGATTGGATCTGGGTACAAATGGATCTAATTAGGATCCGACCCAGTTATTAAAATGTTACATATAATTATTATATATGTACATATATGTTATATAATATTTTTTGTTATATATTATTTCATAGATATATAATAGTATATAATGTTTTTTGGAATCGATCGGGTTTGGATTTGAATCTCAATATTGGATCCTATCTGGTTCGGATCCAAATTCCATGTATACCCTTAGGATCCAAATATGGATCCCGGTGGATCTAGACCAGGTCCAACTCATTCTTAACCCTACTAGTAAGAAACGAGGGTGTATTGCGAGAGACAAAAAAAACTTAGTGCATTGTATGTAGCATTGCTTGTACTTATACAGTGTGGATAAAACACTTCATAAATGACTTGAAGCTGTAAATAGTCGACATACCGATTCAAATATTTTGAGATGATCAAGTTGTAATAAAACTAATACAAAATTGAACAAATAGCTCCAAGGAAGACACATACAAGTACAAAATCAATGCTTTTAGGATATAGTTGAGAAAAATGAGGTAATTGTCAATTTCTTGCGCTCATTTGATATGATTGCTAACCCATTGACCAAGGGTCTAAGTGTAGCATTATTTTTTCAAGCACACTAACTTAATGAGACTTAAAAATATATATAAGACAATTGGTTTCTATGAGCGACAAATCTGCATTAGCGTGAAAATCCTTATGATGGAAATTATAAATATTTGTTATGAGAAGTATATTCATGAAAGCGTGAGAAAAACTTTATGATAGAATACTATTATAATGGTAAACTCCAAAGTGGGAGTAAACCTATGACAAATTTTTATGCTCGACTCTCATGGTCAAGTGGGAGATGTTGGTACGTGTGGCCACGGGCCTTACGCCACTTTCCTATTTTCATGGGAGGAATCCCACAGCAGCATATATTTTTGTGCGTATCATTTTGTTAAACTATTTTCTAAAATATAATATTTATAACTAATTATTTCTAAAGTTTTTTTAAATGGTCAATTTGAGATGAGGATAAGTATCCCTAAGCTTTGCGAGTTGTTTCTCAAAGGCCTGTTGAGAAATAGAACGTTGGACCCATATTCTTTCCTAAAAATATGGGAAGTTAGAGAGAAGGAAAGCACATTGAAAATCACAGAGTCTCTTGTGTTTATAGAAAGCTTCTCTCTTCTCTCTCTAAAGGTTCTTGAATCAAAATATGGTCTCTGCCGATCATCGACCTCATGGTACACGTCCTCTTAGATCTGGCCTTGGCACTCATCCTCGCTTCAAAATTTTACTTTTAGTTGTGACTTATGTTTTAGGCCACTTCGGGGGTAGTTTGATGTTTAAAATATCAAACGGCCATAAAGTGGGCTAAATCCGATGTTGGAGATATCGAATAAGTCTGAAACTTAATGTTAATGTCCTAGTCCGATAATTTTGATATCGGATTGTTATGTTAATCTCCTAGTCAGATGTTTTTGACATTGGATTAACTGAAATTTTGGGGCAGTCCTATTTCTGACATTGGATCGACTTGAACTTTGGGTTGGTGAGTTGGTGACCCGATTCGGAATCGGACGATTTGGATCGGGAATCGCCCAAGACGCTCTGGATTAGGCCAAAAAAGGGGATTTGGGCGGTTCCAAATAGTAGAATCGTCGATTTTTTTGTAGAACCACCGATTGTGACAATTCTTCACCATGTCCAATCGATTCTTCAATAATCCCGGCCGAATCTTCACCGAGTCGAGCAAAAAAAAAAGATGAACAATTTTTTTTGAATTATTTTTTAAAAAAATTTGAAACAAAAAATTACCGATTCTGTCGATTCTTCCGATCCAATCCACCTACTCTCCCGATCCGATTCGGATATTGGTGTGACTGATTTGAGTCTCCGATCCATTTTTTTAAACCTTGATGACCATCCGACTAATCTGTTGAGGAGTCGGGCATGAAGAGAGGGAAAATAGGGGATCAAGTCCTTATATTGAGGTTTCTTGGATCAATAAATGATCCATTGCTATTGCGCATCCAAAATCAATCTTTAAAAGCCTTATATTTAATGCAAAATTCATTTACTCGTATCAATTTGAGATTTTGACAAGGTTTTCTCATAAAAAACTCACGTTTCTTCAACCCCAAATAATCCGGCCATTTTTCAAATTTATTCTCCATTCTTAACTAAAGGACTTAACACTTGTTTCAAATTAATCATGTTTAGGTCCTCAATGAAAATGCCAGTCAATTTGTTGGATGGAAAACTAAAATGAAATCAAGTTTCCAAATTTCAAGGGTTTTTTAAACACGAAATTGAAAATCTCCTTTTTCTCTCTCATTCTTTGACTACTAAATTCATTTAAATTTGTCCCAAGATGTTTCATTCACATTTATCTACAAGAACCGTAATTTAGAAAATTAACAGAAAAAATCCCTTTTTATTTTCAAAATTTAAAAATAGTCACTTGTATGTTATATTTGACACTTTAGTACCACGTTTTTCTTAATGAATATTGTATTTTAATTTTATTCTTTTTTCTATGTATCTGATTAAGCTCAGATTATGGTCATCCATACTTCTCATCATAACACATTCGTAAGAATGTTAAATATAAAAGTACATTAAAATAAAGATGAAAAAAATACCCCAACAATAATTTTTGATTTTTTTTTACAAATATGAGATGGTGTGAAATGTCAATTGCCCAAATTTGAGCTTAATTTAATTCATAAAAAAAATAAAATTAAAATACAATATACAGTCTCAAAAAGTGGGTAATGAGCATAACATATAAAATATACAAGAATTGTTTTGATTTAGATAATAAAATGGGATATTTTTTGTTAGTTTGATAAATATGTTTGAATCCAGACAAAAAATAAAAAAAAAATCAAATTTTGGCAAATTTTTCCTTTAGTTTGCTAAATTTTGGTTATTTTTCCCACCATTTTCTTTGGTTTTTTTGAGAGTGATTTAATATTTGCTGAGTGAGAGGAGCCGACTGCCAACAAGGACCCAACTGGCACCGAATTCAAGTCCCCGAGCTGCGTTTCTAAAAATCAGCAGTGAACATAGAGTAATGACATAGGAAATGAGAAAAAACTGAACCATATTCCCGCTTTTAATCACCATGCCCCTCTATCATCTCTTTATTGTTATATAGTGAGATATCTGACTCCATACACTCTAGATTCCAAACCATGAATTAGGTTCAGAAATCTCTCTCTTCAATACATGAATTAAGTTGAGAAATTTCTTTCATGCTTTAAAACCAGAACTCTCTCTCTCTCTCTCTTCAAAAAATGAATTAAGTTGAGAAATTTCTTTCCTGCTTTAAAACCAGAACTCTCTCTCTCTCTCCACGCGCTGCATGCACTCTCACACAATCATATATGAAACCCAAATACAGATGAGTTGCTGAGCTAATGAAATAATTAACAAAATTAAACACCAGAATTAGCTCATTCTTTAACTCACCTAAAACTCGAAAATCATATTACACATATCAAATGAAACATTAGGCGAAGTAATAGGTCCCAATAAAAGGCTCGAACCATTAACCCCAAAGCTTTCTCCCTCTAAACCCTTGCTCCCAATTAAAACTGAAGGACTAAACATACCCTTGTTAGCGAAACCAGCGTAATCAGGTGAGGGTAAAAACCAGCTCGGTGAAATAGGGGGTAAAGACGAGGGCAAAGGCGATAATATCCCATGACCACCTGAAGCCGGCATATTCAGCTCTTCAATAGCCGGAATACCGCTGGAAAATTCATTCCCCACAAAATTATCTGTCGGGAAACCGCCATTGATCCCTGAAACCTCCACCGAAGACGAGGAAACACCGGTCAGGCTCTGAACCAGGGTCATGAAGTCGCTCGCTTTTGTGTGAATCACTTTCGGGGAAACAGTGTAGATGATAACTGGAGGGCGGTTTTGGGTTTGGTGGTTTAGAGGTAGGGAGTTCTGAGGGGGAAGGCCAGTTGGTGGTTTCTTGATTTTGTGAGAGTCCTTTCGAACCTTGAGAGGGGCGGGCCGGGGGCCTTGTAATTCCTTGCGCGGGGGTTTTCCGGCGTAAAATTCAGGCGAAGCCATATTTGTCGTGAGAAATTCCGGGGAAATTTGTGTTCTTGTGCGGTTTTCCGGCTGTGGAGGAGAAATTAAACAAGGTTTTGAGTTTGCCAAGACTACAAACAAAAGTTTAAAAAGGGGAAGGTCAATGGAGAGGAGATGATGAGGTGATGATCACAAATGGGTTTTTATTTATATTTGGGGATTGAAAGTCACAGAGGTGATCTATCAAAAGTTACACCAACATGTTTTCTCTACCCCTTGAGAATTTTTAATGGCAAAGAGGTCCTTTCTCTTTGTTAAAAAAATTTGTTGGTGTGGCCATGAAGGTGGTCGTTGTACTGGTGGGGTCTACCAAGTGGTGCATGTGTTTGGACCATAAATATCTCTTTCCTACCGTTTTATTATAAAAAGCTTAAGAGAAAGTTCTTGGATATTGAGCTTTAATCTTATAACTTTTCCTTTCATATCTTTCTTTCTAGAATCTGTTTATTTTTAATGATTCATCTAGAAAGCCAAAAATTGAAATTCCCCTAAAAATTCTAGGGATCTTTAGATTTCGAGCTCAAAAGTAGTATTATCTTTGGCAAAATTAAGGAGGCAACTAGCCGGACTTCGGCTGGGCCATGCCTAATCCTTGCATTGGGCTAAGAAAAAATGGACAAATAATTAATAAAAAAAAAAAAAAAAAGAAGTCCGGGATGGGCTATCGTTTGCCCTGGCCCAGCTATCATGGCACATTTTGTGGCCCAAGCCTTAATTTTTGGAAAATTACGGAATTTGGAAGGTTGGTTTTATTCGTTCCATCTTCCATGCTTACGAATAAGACAGGGAGGTGGTAGTCCGACATCCATTAAGTTAATGTGGTGAGGTCCCTCCACAACCGTAGGATGTAGTCACATACCGCCATTGTAGCAGCTCCATGTATTCATATATAAAATAAGGAAAAAGGTTTGATAGGGCCGCAACCTTATCAAAATAAGTAAAGCCTTACTTTATAACTCATTGTAAATTGTAATTCAAGCATTAAAAAACCTTTATATCGATCATCTTGACTTGAACATTATGGTTGTAAAAAAAAAAAAGGATTTCAAGTTCGAAAAATATGATTATTGTAACAAATTATCTAGATCATGCATTTCACCTAAAAATAAGTATTCATAGATCTGCAAGATCTGTACCACTTTTTAAGTTTCGAATTTCATTGTCGGTGTTGGAAAATGATTTTAAAGCCATCATAGATTTCTGGTATAGAAAGTGCTTTTTGGACGAGGATTTGAGGTGATTCTTTATTTTGTTTTCATAAAACCTAGGCTTTATAAAAACTTCATCTATAAAATAATAAAACCTTAAGTGGTCCTCAGGATAACCAGAAAAATGTAGTCCCTGACTTGGAAAATCGCTTTTGAGTGGGTGAGGACCAGGAAAAGTTAGTCCGGTCACACCAGATTCTTCCTCAATCTGGTTTGCGAAATTTGAGATTTTTTATTTGCATAACGGATTGCACGCTCTAAGACCATTTAATTTTTTGGTAAAAAGAGTGATAATTAATATTAAGTAATTAGTAATCTATGTTTGTTAAAAATAAAATAAAAATTTAACAAAATTACCAACATTATACTTAGATTTGAAGTAGGGGTTTAAAGATGGCTTCGTTAACTCAGAAATAAGTGGTAGGTTGATTTTGGTTTAGGGAACCCTCGCATTGCTTCATTTGTTTTTATTTTTATTTATTTTTATTTTTTTGGGTGAATTAGTAGAAACGTCAAGCTCTACCTGTTTTATTAAAAGAAATAAGAATATGATTCAAGGACAATCCATTTACAACCCTTGAGAATGAAACATCAGATAAAAGAAAAAAGCATTAAAAAATGGGGGGCAAGCATGCCACACCATTGATTCATCTCTAGAAATCACGTCTTTGGCCAAGATGTCAGCAGCCATATTAACCTCTCTATAGGTGTATAGGATCTGCCATCGATGGGCTGCAAAAGATGTGAGCTTAAATCTGCAATTTGTCACGCTAGTATGCAAAAAATGTGAATTTAAATATGCAATTTGTCAAGATGAGCTGCAAAAGATGTGAGCTTAATATGCAATTTGTCATGGTGATTCAGGGAATAGAGCTTGGAGTAATTTTTAATGACTAGAGGTATGCAATCCTACTCACTTGCCAAATCAATCCCCTTGTCCAATGCATGGAACTCAACATGGTATTTTGAATCATTCTCTAAAGGGGTTGCAAAGGCCGTAATGAAACCACCTGTATCCTGTATTTTACCTGGAAGCCCCATCAATATTGAGTTTGAAGGAGCTTGAGGGGACCACAACACATGAATTTGAACCCAAGGAAGTTCCAAACTACAATGCAAATTGAGATTAATGGCTACATTTATTTCCAAAGAATGGAAAGCCCAATTTTTAACTTGAACAGAAGAATTAACCAGATGTATAATATGTTGTAATAATTGTTTCCTCGGTGTTTTAACCACCTCATGAACATGTGAGTTCCGCATCATCCAAAGAAACCAAATGGTAATGGAAAAGTAAAAATCCATACAAACTGCATACATGAGGATCATAATCTAAATTTAATCCATTTAGACATTTAAGTTGTTATTATTTGCTTAAGGAAAAGTCAGTTTCTAAATCTACAAAGGATAGAACTCCAAATCAACTGTGAATACGAGTATTGCACGCATTGCACAATAGTATGATTAAAAACTCCTCCTCATGAAGATAGAAGGGGCATGTGGGGATTAGAGTAAGGCTTCTAGATTGGAGAAGTATCAAGGCAGGTAACCGAGGCTGCAGTGCTAACCAAGTGAAGCACTTGGCCTTGGGCAGTGCCGGCGTCAAATGTTTTTATTCTTTATTGTATGCATGCGACAAAACTGATCATTCTAATCAAAGCTGATGACGACTTCGAATCGGTTCCAGATAGTCGTCATCATCAAGAGTCTTTTCCTAGCTACTTGGGGTCAGCTATATAGTTCCTGGTTTGCTATTCTGCTTTATCAATAGGTATACCCTCAATGAGGTTATAAGTCCCTGTATCTTTTTTCACTACTTCCAACCATATTATTTTGAAATCAGTTCTAGTTCATGCATGATCGGATTATGATTCTTAAAAGCTTAATTGAAAGTTTAGTTTTAGGTTTGCAAAATGTTAATACATGGTTGCAATCTTATATTATAGAAGGTGCACATCAAAAATTCATCAGAAAAGAGTGTTTCGAAGTTAGAAAACTTGATTTTTTTTTTTTAACGGTAAATTCTCACTAATAAAAAAGAGAAGTTGAAAAAACCTTCTAATTGTTCATCTTGACTTCAAAATTTATGGATATAAAGAATAAATTAACTAGTCCTAAAAATAGTACCTCTTGTAACAAATTATTTGTATTTTTAAGATTTTCAAGTATTTATAGATGATGTCATATCTACACCGTTTTTAAAATTTTAATTTTTTACAAATAAGATTAAACATAAAAATTCAAACCGTGATAGTATCCCACACCGTAGGTATATCTTCTACTAAAATTTAGAGGTGCACTCACTTATATAGCACTGGGTCGGCATCCTTTGAGTTTCACTCTTCTTCCTTTATAACTTGAAAATGAGTAATTTCCGAAAGGAAAATTGTTTCATGAGTCATGTCACACATTTCTACATGTGCATCCTTCGACGTTTAAAAACATTTGAAACTAACGGCTTTTTTTATAAAACTATTATTATTAATTTTTAAAATTTATTTACTTTTTCATATTCATGATCTCCAGATTAGAGATTATATGCTATTAAAAAATTGGGTTGAAAAACCCATCTCAAAATTAGGTTTTTAAGAGCAGACTCATTTCTACGTACTCATAAAACTGTGTCCTTTTCCGAAAGTTAGGGGCGTTAACGTTACATTTAGTTCAGAAGGGTTAACCGCGTTATTTTCGTACCAAATCCTCGTGTTATTCCTTGAACTGCTGGGTAATCGCTTATTTAGTCGAGGCACGTGTGCCACGTCAGCTATAATGATGACGTAGCCCACGTAAGCATAGCTCTAATACGAATTGACCACTATTAATTAGCCATGCCTCCTAATTTGTCCAATGAAGTCGGCTATTTTCTGGCGCCGAATTCATTCATGGTGATCCAAGTCTCGTAAATTTTGAGACAAAATTTACGGTGTCTTCCGACACTTTAGGGCCGGCAATGGGCCCGGCAGCCTATCCCATACCCTAAAAAAGGTCGCACCTCGGCTTATGGTTGGCAATGGATTGGGTATGGGTGGGGTCCGACTGGACTCAGATCTAGAGTCGAATAATATTCGGATTCAGATTTTGAACTCGAAGGCGATCGGTTCGGTCCAAAAGTTGGATATAGTATTCGGACTCAGATTAAGAACTCGAAGGCGATCGGTTCGGTCCAAAAGTTGGACCTATATCCATACCTTTTAGGTCTCGAGTCTGGTCGGATCCGTTGCCAACCTTACTTATAAGCTTCTAATTTTTTTTTCATTTTTTTTTTTTACAATCATATACTCATATTATTGGAAACAAGGTCATAATCACCAGCTATTAGATTTCAAGCCATTTGTCGTTTAATATTTAAAGATGATTTATTTGTCAAAAAAAAAAAAAGTTAAAAATGACTACGATGTCTTATCGTATACAATTCTTAATACACCCAAACAACATCTGATTTGTTTTTTAATAGCTAAAGATGATTACGAGTTCTCATTTTATATAATTCTTAATATACCCAAATGAATAGAGCTTAGAATATTTTATCGCCAACAGTTTACGGAGACCCGGACCCGGACCCAGATCCAGACCCAACTATTGTTCGGTTCAGGTTTTGGGCACGGACAAATGTTGGACCCATACCCAAACCTGTGCTGGGTATACCTAGTGGATTCCAAGTTCGATGCCTTTGCCAACCCCAATACCTCCTCCCCCACCCTCTTTTTTTTTCTTTTTTTTTCCGCCCCTTACCGGGGCGCAGCCCATTGCCACCATTACTATTCAATGTTGCCTCTTGTACTATGATCTTGCTTGAGGCCACTCCCTCAAGCCTCAGGTAAAAGAACTCAAAGGCTATTCTGTTTTTGAGAGATGGTTTTTTGGTGAATCATTTTTTAAGAGATTCACTTTGGAACAACCACGTAAGTATTTAAAAAA